GTCTTCTTATATTCGCTGTACGTATTCTAGCCACTTTCTCTGCAGAAATATACTTTCTCACGTGGCTTCATAAATTGTATAAAAAGGTAAAGCTATCCAAGTAACAAGCCGTGAAGGCTATACGGTTGTGGGACGTTGAGGTTCCCACATTTTCTATACAACAGGTTCACAGACGGCGGTGGGGTTGTCAGCCTTACGCGCCGGCCGCATTTTTAACCCCAGGAAGATTCCTGGTACTCATTTCTGTTAGAGGCTGAGTCGACTCCGGGACCATATTGGGACTAGAAGGATTAGGTTAACTGAAAAATATGATGACCTCATCGAAAATCGAATCGGTGACCTCCAGGCTTGTAGCAACCTCAACCAATTACGATACCGCGAGTCCTTCATAAATTGTATTTTTTTTTCCCCTTGGCACTACGGCCCCAGTGGGCCTAGGCTTACCTCCATGAACTCCGTTCACTTCGGTTTTTCTAGATCTTACACATTCGGTAGGACTCCGTAGCTCGTCGTAAGGCCTATACCTATAGACAAACACAGAAAAACGCACACAAACATCCATGCCCTGAGTGGGATTCGAACCCACGATCCCGGCTTCCGAGCGAGCGAAGACAGTGCATGTCATAAATTGTACACCTCGCCAAATTATATGATGAAATCAAGGAAATTACACGGGAGAGGCGTGTAGTGTACATGGAAGAGAGCAAGTTCAGAAGGAAAGATTATCCAGGAAGACCAAGAAGTAAATGACAGAATATTAAAAAGGATCCTAAAGGAATAGGATAATATGGATTCGATTCATCTCACTCGGGATGAGGGACCAACAATGAGCCCTTGCAAACTCTGCAATTAACTCGTTTCACTTCTTGCCTGCCTTGTGCAGATAACAGTTGCACACGGTACGTAGGGAGAATCACCCAGCACTACAAACGCACAAAACATGGGCGCATAGAATAAGGCATTCTTTTAGAATTTTGTATATTGACGGAAGTTGAGTTTTCAACATCAAATTTCGAAGCATCTGATGATGAGCATATCGGTTGAAAAACATTAGTGCACCTTTAACCTAAATTTAAAGACTGAAATTGCACGTGAGACAGTGAACAAAAAGTTAAAATACATGACGTGTAACACGAACATTCAGCATGCGTTAAGCGCTCGGAATTTCTTCGGCATCTAATTAACTATTATATTCTCAAGAAGGATTTTGCTTTATGTAGCAAGTTAGTTACTTGGTTAAGTTATGCATTCGTTGTGTATTACATGTATATACATTAGAATTCTGCTTTTTATGTCAGAAAATTCTGTCTCCCGTTTATGGACAGACTGGAGAAATATTATTATGAAATTCGATAGGTTTACCCTATTTCAGAATGAAAATTAAATATGAGTAAGCCTAGGATGGACCGCGCCATAGCTCAAGCGGTTAGTCGCTGGCTTCCCACCGCGGCGTCCCGGATTTGGTCAAGTGGGACTTGTGGTGGACAAAATGGCGCTGGAGTGTGTTTTCTCCGAGTACTTCGGTTTCCCCTGCCAATCTTTATTCCACCAAATTCTCCATCATCATAATCACCCGGGAAAGGCTACAATAGGCCAATCAGTGGCCGCTGCGCCCAGTGGACCCAGTTGGACTCCACCCCCCACTAAGCGAATTAAAAAAAAACCTAGGGTTTAAAAATAAACACAGAGGGAACATCGCGTCAGTGGTTGAACCATGTCATTATTGTGCTATCAACAGAAAATAACTAGAATATATTTTCGACATACAATGAAAACAATGAAGAAAGCAGTCTTCTGGGATTTGGCACCGTGTATATGTGGTGTTAACCGACGTTTCGGAGGAACGTATCGCCCCCATCTTCAGGGTTGAAGAAGTATAAGTAAATCTGCAAGCGANCAATAATCGCTAAACCGGAGAATTTGTTGAATACGTGGGAAGTTTCGTCTGTAAGGTTGCCCACTCAGTGTACGACATAACCTCAAAGATGTTCTGAAAAGTTATGTCGTCTCTCTCTTTCTGGCTTTCCCACCAATATCCTCATACACTCCTACTTTCCTCAGTTGTGCTACATGCCCTGCCCATCTCATCGTCCTTGGCTTGATCATTCTAATTATACTTGGAGAAGAGTGCAAGTTATGAAGCTCCTTATTATGCAGTTTTCTTCAACCTCCTGTCACTTCATCTCTCTTCGGTCCAAATATTCTTAACGCCCTCAGTCTATGTTCCTCCCTTACTGTTATAAATCAAGTTTCACAACCATACAGAACCACAGGTAAAAGTATTGTTTTGTGTATTCTAATCTTTATGTTTTTAGACAGCAGACGAGAAGACAAAAGGTTCTGCACTGAATGGTAGCAAGCATTACCCGAGTTCAATCTCCTCTTAATTTCCTCCTGAATTAGGTTTTGGTTTGTTATTTTCGTTCCCAGGTATCTGAACTGTGCCACATTTTCAAAACATCAATTAGCTATCTTTATATCATGATTTTGCCTGCATTCTGGTGACGAGATAGCAACATATACTTAGTTTTCTTCTAGACGTGATACGAGTATATATAATTTTTATAATTTTATTTCAATCCTAAGAGCAGCTCATTTGTATAATATTTACCAGCCGGTATGCAATCGCAGAAGTTTAGTGTCCTACAAATCAATCAGAGTTTTCGAATTCTATCTTCCTTCTAAATGTATATACATATATATTTTCGTTATTCACAAACCTGCAAGGAACGACGCAATGTTTCTCTATTTTGCATAGAATGATTTCTGAAAAAACAAAAGTTCATGGTTTATGCTGACCATCTTACAGTGTATACACTTTTCACCTTATTCTTCACTTCCACACTACATGTTTCAGCACTAATGTGCCATCCTCAGGCGTCTTTATGCACGTTAAACTATTGCACTGCATGTCATAATGTCTTCATTCTAAAATGACTAAAATCTGTATTCGTCATATAGGACGATGAATTCTAAATAATAAAACTTTTCAGGATTCTTCCTACGTAGCACTCAAATACGCGAACTACGCCAATCCTCTCTTATGTGAGCATTCTTCCTACATATATTTGTGTATCGTGTTCTGTGTTGTGTTTTGCCCCTGTTACTGCATGCGTTGTACTGCTGAATAAGGTGAAAAAGTGTATACACTGTAAGACGGTCAGCATAAACCATGGACATGAATCAGTGTAAGAGGACGCTAAAATATAACATTGAACAAAAGTTATTAAGTGAAGATCATTTCTACGAATTATTTTTCAGCACAGGCATATGGAAAAGCAGCAAATATTTCTGAAACATATGGCCCTACTTCCAGTTCAGTGCTGAAATAAAATTAATAATACCTGGAACGAGAGTTACTTCCATGAACAGGCCTAGTTCTCCTAAAGGCACAATTTAGCAGTTAAATAAACTCTTTATTGAATATTTTGTATCAAGGAATAGGAGATTTCTTCTTTAGTTACTTTATAAAATGGAAACGTCAAACACAGGTTCTAGTGCACACAGCGTTCAGTAGAACCGTTACATTCTCTGATTTCCCTTTTATTTACCCACAAGGGAACTAATTTTACTGAGGGAACTGAATATATATTGGTAGCAAAATTATTTGCTACTGTATTCAATTTCTTCAACAATATAAATATTGGAAACTCCAAAGGAAACCAAATTAATTAAAAAACCGACGTAAAATAAATTCTATTACGTGTGTTCAAACGCTTTCTAACACTGATTAAAAACTAAACTAAAAAGTTTATTTGGAAACCACGTTCCTCCATTTTGGATTTTAAGTTATCACAGCGCTAATAATGAAGAGTTTTATCATCTTGGATATGACACCGTATAGTCTGTCGAGAATTCACGTATTCTTCAGAGGAATATAATGCCTCCGTCTTCAGAAACGAATTTGTGCTGGGCAAATAAGGAACAAGCAGCAAGTTCGGTCATCTTGCTGTTTGGTTCCGAGACATCTGCTTGTCTAGCATACCCACGACTATGATGATGGAGGGAGTACGTTCCTCCGAATTTCTACTAGACTACACGGCGTCATATTGCAGAAGATAGTACTCTCTCTTACCACGAGGATGGATTTCTTGATGTGTCATTATCACCATCAACATCTTCATGAGTTAGGCCATATTTGGTGTTTTCCGTTCCTTAAAGGGTTTTATAAATATATAAATAATTGAAATGTCATCTCAAGGTTTCTGAAATTCACATCCTGACGAGTCATACCCAATTTACATGCGAATAAGAGTCGTATACGCAAATGGAAAATACATAAGTAACAGAATTACTCGAAGAATGCCGACTTCTAGGATGTGGCACCCTGTAGATCTTGTGTGATCCGACGTTTCGGGGAATATATCGCCTCCATCTTCAGGACTGAAAAATCCGCGAGGGGGGGGACCAGCGTGGCCAGGTGGCTGTAGTGGATTTCTCTACCCTGAAGATGAAGGCGATGTGTTCCTCTGAAACGTCGGTTCACACAAGATCTACAGGGTGCCATATCCCAAGAAGGCGGCATTCTTCATAGTCACCTCTGTGAAAACCTCAAATCTGAAACTGTTACTCACCTACAAATATAACTAAATAAAGTGAGGGTAAGAGTTATGATCGCCTCTGTGGTCTAGTGGTCAGAGTTCCTAGCTACAGACCCAGAGCTCCGGGTTCAATTCCCGGCGCTACCAGATTTTCTGAGAAGTAGTGGGTCTGGAACGGGGTCCACTCAGCCACGTGAGGATAATTGAGGAGCTGTTTGAAGGAAATAGCGGCTCCGCTCTAGAAAACCAAAATTAACGCTAGTGGGAATTCGTTGCGCTGATCACGGGACACCCTCTATCCGCTAAAGTTGACACTAACTTCGCCGACAAGCGGCGGTCGCTCGGCCGGTATAGTTCGCTTGCGGACTAAACCCACAGAGTCTGTTTTTGTTTGCGGGTAAGAGTTACTCACTGACAGATCGTACTTAAGAAAGCATGCGGATAAGCTACGATACTCACCGACGAACCAGGGATTACGGCGGTTGCTCTCTACAGTCAGATTCAGGAAGTATTCCTCGAATCCTCGGACAGGATTGGCCTGCGGCTGAACGGACAGTGTACCCTCCACTTCCGGCTCGTTTCCGTCGGACACGAGATTGCGCGCACTCCAGCCGTCGGATCCAATCCACGAGAAGCTGCCAGTAGCGTTATTCCTGCGGACGGCACGCATCACGCCTGCCACCTCTTGGTCAGACCCGAAAATAATGGCTCCTGCAAAAAAAGAAAACATCAGAAACTTTGACAGAACTACAATGCAGAATGCCGTCTCCTGGGATGTCTGGCTGCAAATTTGATTTAGGAGGAAATTAAGTGGACTTAATTCAGTTAATGCTTGCTAACATTCAGCCTAGAACCTTTTATCTCCTCGTCTGATGTCTAAACACAAAAAAATTAAAACATACAAAAATATAATTTTGCCCGTGGTTCTCCATGGGTGTGAAACTTGGTCTCTGATATTAAGTGTGGATCATAGACTGAGGGTGCTTGAACGGAAGAGAGATTAAGTGCCGGAAGGAGCGTCACATCTTGTACTCTTTGCCAAGTATAATTATAATGATCAAGTCAAGGAAGATCAGATGGGCAGGGCATGTAGCACAAATGTTTAGAAGATGAATGCATATAGGATATTGGTGGGAAAGCCAGAAGGGTAGGGACCACTAGGAAGACCAAGACATATCTGGGTGGATAACATTAATATAGATCTTTGACAGATAGGACGGGGTTGTATGGACTGGACTGATCTGGCTCAGGGCAGGGACCAGTGGAGGGCTCTTGTGAACACGGTAATGAACCTTCGGGATCCATAAATTATTGAGAAGTTGTTGAGTAGCTGCACAATTGACGGCTTCTCAAGAACGGTTCAGCTCCAGGAAGTTAGTTAGTTACTTAGTTACCTGACGAACAGAACAACAAGTTAAAAACAATGAAGAAAGGAGAATCTGAGACCCTTAAATAAAAAAATCTTCTTCTTTTATGGCACTACAACAAACGTTGTCCAAGTGTTCCCATTTCTTCTAGGTTTCGTAATATGGTTTATGAACATTTGGTAGGAGCTCTAACAAGGGGATCGGCTGGTCGTTAAGTTTCTACCTATGCAGGACAACATAAAGTCCCCAGAGACTCAAGTGGCGGTAGAGGACAGTGCATGCCTCAGACTTATCTGCAGCTACTCAAGAATTTCCCAGCATTTTATGGAACCCGAAGGTTCATTACAGTGTTCACAAGAGCCCTCCACTGCTCCCTATCCTGAGGCAGATCAATCCAATCCATACCATTCCATCCTATCCCTCTAAGATCCAAATTGATATTGTCCACTCACCTACGCCTTGGTCTTCCCAGTGGTCTCTTTCCTTCTGGCTGTCCCAACATCCTATATGAATTCCTCTTCTCCCCAATTCGTGCTACATGCTCTGTCCACTTCATGCTCCTTGACTTGATCATTCTAATTATGCATGCCTTAGACAGCAAAGGATTCAATTTTCACCTGTCTGTCGAACTCGGCAAACGTTCATTGAGACAGGATTACAGTCAGAACCATAAACGTATCTTTAAGGAACTTAAATTGTGGGGTGCAGGACGGAATTTTGATTCACGTCGGAGTGAACCATCTAGTGCATGATATTAAGGCCGAAGCAACTTGTAGCCGTACAGAACCCAAATTCAACGGCTACGAAACATTTCAAAGGATTGGTGAATTACATCAGTTGTAAAACAGACCCTGAATATTAAATTCGATAACGAGAAACTATGGAAGCACATTAATCACGAATGCCATAACTAATATGAATTTACAACAAAAATAAAACGTCGAAAAATATGCAGTTCATCACAATAACGCCGCCATTTTAATGGGGGTTCTTTTCCTGCGAAGATAAATCCACTTTCGGTTTCACATTTCCATTTATTTCGATGCTTTTATCCCCCGCCATAACAATTTGTTTTATGATAGATACTGGCATGGCACGTTGGCACTTCTGCATTTCCATAAATGGCTCGGTTACGAATAATGACATGATAGAGATAAACTAAATCCAACACGCGAAGGATGTCCAAATTTCTGTATCATTTTGGTAGTGATTATGGGAAAAAAAGCGCATATAATACAAACTGCTTTCATCAGACTTGTAATATCTATCTATATATTGTAACGGATTTGCTGAAAGCGTTGCTAGGTAACAGACCGGTAAGCACACATCACAGCAACGAATGCACAGCAACAGGGCGTCCATTGCTAGGCAATGCATGGGTAGACACACCCGAGAACAATATATGATATCCGTTGCTAAGCAGTTGATGTGTTTTCGATCCTGAAAATGGAGGCAGTATGTTTCCTTAAACGGCCTGTCAATTTCTACCAATCTACACGGTGTCATCGAGAAGTGCGTAGTCATCAACCTCATGTTTCATTGCTAAATAATGCTCATTTTTTTAACGGAGCAATGGGCAATACCGAAACAGAATTCTGTCATCAAAGAGGCTGCATTTCAATGATTTCGGTTTCGGGCTTCTAAATTATACATGAAGGCCTGTCATATTATATAACGTATTGTTTCATAAGCCAGAAAATATATCCCTGTAACAGGCCGTGGAGGGCCATAGGGCTGGGAGACGTCGAGTCTCCCACATTTTCTAGAGAATCGACTCACAGATGGCGGTGATGTTGTCAGCCTTACGCCCCTGCCGCCCTTTACCCGTCAGGAAGAATCCTGGTACTCATTTCTGTTGGGAACTGAATTGAACCCAGGGCGACAGTGCTGCTAGAAGCATTAGGTCAATTGAAAAATCCAATGATTCCATCGGGGATCGAACCTGCAACCTTCCGGCTTGTAGAACAGTGCCTCAACCAACTACCCTACCGCTTGCCCATCAGAAGCCAGTATGACTAATTAGTTACTTTTTATTGTTAATTATTAGTAACCCTATTTTTTTCAATGTTCTTTCCATTAAGACTACTATTTTTTAGATATGAGGCCGTGTAGTCCGTTCAAAGTCAACTGATGTTTCGGAAGTATATAGCGCTTCCATCTTCAGGGTCAAAGATTAAGTCGATCATGAAGGCAGCGTGAAAGCAAATGATAACCTCGCTTCCTTTCTAGGTTTATTCTTCAGCCTTGAACTTGGATGCGATATGTTCTTCCGAAACGTCTGTTGGTTGAATTTCAACGGACTACACGGTGTTATATCCCAGAAGATAGTACTCTTCATAACCACAGCTGAGAGAACGACAGGGAAAGGGTACGAGTGTTAAGCGAAAGAAAATTTTACACGGCTTCATCTGGCTCTAACATTTTCTAAAGCGCCTTCAGTTCTGCTGTGACATCAAGCGTCGCGACGCGATAGTCATAGAAACTTTATAACAGAAATTATAATGTCCTGAATTCTGTTGGTAGGATGTCACTTTATGGAAGTAATTCAAGCGTAGATTATAATAAATTAATGTCTAGTCACGTGCAAAGCATGAAACTGAACTCGCCCATATCAAATTAAAAGTTAATTAATGTCAGAATCTGATATACTTAAAAATAATAGCAAATACACTTGTTACAAAAGACACTATCGTATCGAAATCCAAAGACATTAAATGAACCGTACATCTGAGAATGACATAAAGGTGCCAATGCACAGAGATTCAGAACTTATAAAATTCAGTTGATATTATATCTATCTATGGCTCTACAACCCTTTGTTGGGCCTTGGTCGCCTTTTCAGTTTCTTTTTATTTTATACAGTCGGTAGGACTCCTCTGACGGGGGATCAGCCCGTCGCACACACAGAACACAGAAACCTTCACACAAGAGAAAATGGTTTCCTTCACATCGAACAAGACTGCGCTGCTTATTAAGTCATAAAACAAAGGAAAAATTTACTGCATGGAATTATCTCGTTCTTTTGCATATAATTTGTATGCGAAAGTATGTGAGATTCACAATTATATACTTAGCTTTTTAACGTCTTCCTTTCCTGAGTGTTGCATGAGGTTCAATGTATTTCAGCATTTGCAACAATGCGATTCCTCTAAGTAGTAACAATTAGCCACAGATCCACGTATGGATGTCTGCTTTAGCTGTAGGCCCACACATTTTTCTTGCAGTTTGCATATATTCCGTGTGAAACTTGCAACGATTAAAAAAATATCCCGAGCACCCTAAAGTATGTACTTAACCTTGACTCCTTGAATCCGAGCGGGAAATTTAAAATATTTTGTGAGACCATCACGATGCTACAGGCTTCTGCAATGTGGCACCCTAGTATGAAAGAAAGTTATCGACGTTGGCAACGCCATAGCTCAGCCGGTTAGTCGCTGGCTTCCTACCGTGCCGGCCCGGGTTCGAGCCTTAGTCTGATCACGTGAGATTTCTGGTGGACAAAGTGGTGCTGGGGAAGATTTTCTCCGAATACTTCGGTTTCCACTGCCAATCTTCATTACATCAGGTGCTCCACAAACACCATCATCTATCATCTAGGGCTAGTACAATAGGCCAATAGTGGCCACAATACCAAGCGAACTCAGTCTCACCCCAATAAGCAGAATAATAAATTTGAAGAAAGCAGTCTTCTGGGATTTTGCACCGTGTATATGTGGTGTTAACCGACGTTTCGGAGGAACGTATTGCCTCCATCTTCAGGGTAGAAGAAAAATATATAAGAAATCTGCAAGCAAAGAGACCGTGAGAACCGGTAAAAGCAGACGTCTGCTTTTACCGGTTCTCACGGTCTCTTTGCTTGCAGATTTCTTATATATTTTTCTTCTACCCTGAAGATGGAGGCAATACGTTCCTCCGAAACGTCGGTTAACACCACATATACACGGTGCAAAATCCCAGAAGACTGCTTTCTTCATAGTCACCGCCGTGAAAGCCTTAAATCTTACAATAATAAATTTACCGACGTTTCGGAGGAACGAAGTGCCACTGTCTTCAGGATGGATGAGTACGTCGAGTTAGCAAACAAACAAAGAGTAAGCTGGAGTATTTACATAAAACTGTGGAAAATATCATTTATATTGCGTCTGTGGCTCGTGATACGAACACTAGACCATGCAAATACGAACACTACGACATCCGAGCCACTTATAAATTCATATGTAGCAACAATATCCATTTATCTTTGTACACTGAGCTTGCATAACCTCTCAGACTGTTATAAGTAACTTCGTCAAATAAGTTTGGAAACTCGCAATATGATTGACGTAAATGTACACATTATCACAC